AACATACTGCAAAGTGAATTGACTGTATATTTGTGGGCGAACGCGGAAGCCAATTGCGCACAGCAATGTCCCACAAACAGTCGTAGATTGAAAATGACCAATTTATTATTGTTTTTTGTTTTGGAGGGATTATTATTAGGCGTGTGGAGTAAGGAAACTTGCCCAAGGTTTCGCCCTCTGCCTGGAATTGAACTCAGGTCTCTCACTTGCAAAGCGAGTGCTCTAACCACTGAGCTACAGGACATTCTCACTGTCTCATTCTCACAGTGCTACACACACAGATCAACTGATGCCGAATTTCAATTTCATAGCCATCAAAACATTGTATATTAATATCAGGGCAGCAAATTCAGAGTAATTATATTTTGCCCACAAAATACACAGTCAATTCATTTTACAATATATTCTGTGAAGTGCTTTGAGATGTCTTGAAGATATTATAAGGCACTATATCAAATACAAGGATTATGATTATGATAAAGTGCTATATCAAATGCAAGGATTAATATTATTACAAGGCACGATTTTCACTGTTTGAGAAAAGAATAATGTCCTGAAATTGTCCCAAAAATCGCTGCACATGGTGGCAAGCATCCTACTTATGTGGTCTGTAGTCTAAATGTTATGACATTTATTGCTTTCAATCATTGTTAACAAAGGTCCAGTACAGCTGTTCTGCTTGTGCAACTCCTAGTTCAATTTATATATCTGGAGTCCTGTAGCTCAGTAGTTAGAACACTCGCTTTGCAAGCGAGAGACCTGAGTTCAATTCCAGGCAGGGCGAAACCTTGAGCAAGTTTCCTTACTCCACACGCCTAATAATAATCCCTCCAAAAACAATAATAAATTGGTCATCTTCAATCTACGACCGTTTGTGGGACACTGCTGTGCGCAATTGGCTGCCGCGTTTGCCCACAAATATACAGTCAATTCACTTTACAGTATATTCTGCGAAGCGCTTTGGGACGTCTAGAAGACGTGAAAAGCGCTATATCAAATGCAAGGATTATTATTGTTATTATTATCTGTTAAATACTTATAATAGTTTAACTTCACATAGATATTCTGTGCATGTAATGTGATTCATTTTAATGGATTTTGTATTAAGTATTGAATAGGTTAGGCAGTGCTATAAACACAACTTTGTCATTGTTTAATTTATATTAATGATGATCTAATGACCTTTCCTTTACTATTGAGAGTAATTAGAGTAATTATAAGTGCTTAAGAGGTTAGTAGATGGTCAGACTTAAAAACATCGCCACCAAGTAAAACTATTTCTAAGTGTTTTGTCCACATGGCAGATGCACATCTCAAATCATGATATCCTTCCATTCTATTACCTTCTATTGTAATGACAAACCACAAACGTGTAGAGTGAGTGATGTTGTATTGGCTGGTGTCAGCAGTCTGCCACTGTTGAAATGTGGGTTTCTGCTATCTTTGCAGTGGGTAGAATGTAAACACGTTGTAATGTTTATGTGACATGGTAAAGAACACTTGTTAGAGACTCCAGTTGGAGAGTGGCAACATGTCTTCAAAGATGATAGGGTACATGCTTGAAAAGGTGAAAGGGCATAAATCTGCCCAGATGATAGAGCCCAGCTTCAGCTGTGATAGTAATTGACTTCATTGCTGGACATTCCAGCTGACTGTTACTTGAAATGGAGTGATATCTAGTAAATTTATAAAAGTTAACCACAAATCTCAAATGATAACCTCTATCCATATATTTTATTGCTATAACTGGATTAACGAATTGTTAGTTCTGAAATTTGTCAAAAAACATTAGGGGAATAAAATAAAAGCACACCAAATGCAGTGCTGTACATGCCCAAAGCAATTTTGCCCCAAACTTCTGTGCTCCAATAAGTGTAGGCATGTTGTCATTGTAGCACAGCAGACCGAGGGATCCAAAACCCTCTGTACTGTCTGATCTAGAATCTGTTTCTAAGCATGACTGGCTATGATGGCTTTTGGTAAGGACAATTAAATTGTTTTTTTTATCTGCAAAATAAAAACGCAGGTACTTTTCCTGTTGAAACAATTCCGCCAATACCTCTCCCCAAAAGCCGCTGAAACCCTGGTCCATGCCTTTGTCACCTCTCGGCTGGACTACTCTAACGCCCTCCTCGTCGGTCTCCCATCCACTACCATCCATAAAATCCAAATCATTCAAAACTCTGCCACCCGCATTCTCACCCGCACAAAACTCCGCTCCCCGATCACCCCAGTCCTTGACAGACTGCACTGGCTGCTTATCCCAGAGAGGATTGACTTCAAGAACCTCACCCTCGTATTCAAGTCCCTGAACTCCTCTGCACCCCCCTACGTCTCTGACCTCCTCTCTCCTCAAAATAGTACCCGTTGCCTTCGTTCCTCCGGGTCTGGCCTCCTCCTCGTCCCCTGAGTCCTCCACCCTCGGCAGCCGTGCCTTCAGCCACTATACCCCGAGGCTCTGGAACTGCCTTCCTCACTCCCTTCGTCTCGTTCCCTCCCTTCCCATTTTCAGGTCTCTGCCGAAGACCTTTTTTNCGACCGTGCATTTGATCACCTTCCTCCCCCTCCCCCTGGCTGGACCCCGGGATCCGTTACTGTGAAGCGCTCTGAGACGCCATCCGGCGTGGAGGGTGCTATATAAATCCAAGTTGTTGTTGTTGAAACAGGAGAAAATCAAGGGGAAAAATTGGAGCTGAAAAAGGGGTACATTCGGTGAAAAGCAGTAAAATATCTGCATTTGATTTGTGTTTTTCTTCATGCTAAAGGCAGTCAGAGAATGCCACAACATTTTTCACAGCACAACTCCAAACAGCTCCTTCACTCTCAGATCGTTGGTCTGATAACTGTGTCTGCTCAACCTTAACTTGGCTGAGAGTGCAAAATAACGTGGCTCACAAAACGATTCACAATAAGCAAATCCCAGATGTGTTGCAGTCAATCCTCTGGAACTCTATTCAGTTGCCGATCTCAGTTCCAACTTTTGTGAACTTTGGAATGAAAAGGACAGCAAGGCCTATTTTTATGTGAAGCCCCAAAAGTTTCAAGGACTCACTAGAATATAATACAAAATTACATTTGTAAAGTGCCTTTCAAGTTAGGAGGACGTTCCAAGGCGCTGAGCAGTCAGGGATTAGGATCCAAGCTGGGGGTTGAGGGTTTGGAATCAGAGAGAGTGGAGGGCACAGAAGGTAGAAGGGTGGCTGACGGCTTGGTCGAAGAGGAGAGTCTTGAGGCATGCCTTGAAGGAGGCAAGGGAGGGAACGAGGCGAAGAGAATGTGGGAAAGAGTTGCAGAGGGGGGGAGCTGAGATACTGAAGGCCTTACCGGCGATGGTGGAGAGAGCCTGGCGGGGGAGATGAAGCAGGCTGGAGCCTGCTGAGTAGAGGGAATGGACAGGTTGATAACGGGATAGCAGGACAGAGAGGTAGGAAGGGGCAAGGCCATGGAGGTCTTTGAAAGTGAGGAAGAGGATTTTGAACTCGATCCTCTGAGGGATGGGGAGCCAGTGGAGCCGGGTGAAGGTTGGTGTGATGGGGTAAGGGAGCCTAGTGCGGCAGAGAACACGAGCTGCAGAGTTCTGGATGATCTATACTGTAAAGTGAATTGACTGTATATATTGTGGGTGAAACATGGCAGTCAATTGCACACAGCAGTGTTCCACAAACAGTCATGGATTGAGTGACCAAAGTATTTTTTATTTATTTCAAAGGAGTTATTACCCCTGGAAAAGAGATCCACCAATTGACTAACAACCGGGTTCCTACTTACTGCTGGGTAAACAGAGGCATGTGGAGTAAGGAAACTTGCCCAATGTTTCGCTCTGCCAGGGAATCAAACCCAGGTCCTCTCTCTTGGAGGCAAGTACTCTAACCACTGAGCTACAGGACACCATTAGCCTAAATTAGCTGTGTGGAGTGGGTGAGCAGAGCAGATGAGAAGTATGAGAAGATCACAGAGATATGGAGGAGCTAGAGCATGAAGGGATTTATCGGTGATGGTGAGGATCTTGAAGTTGATCCATTGGGAGACAGTAGAGCCTGATGAGGTGTGGGGTGATAGGAGTGCTGAGTTTGGTGTTGGTGAGGATGCAAGGGAGGATGAGCTGGAGTTTGCAAATGGAGCAGGGATGGACTGGCTATTCAGGAAATCGGGAAATGTCCAAGTGCCCATGTTGCTCGACATCTCTGTGAAAATAGCTCACAATTTTTATAAAATACATAGACGGCTGGCTAGAGGACAATCTGCAACTTGACTCAATGCATGGTGTGATAGGCGGAGAGTCTAGAGGAGAGGAAAGCTGCCAAGATACAGGTCTATCAAATTATCCATTTCATTCACAAATCATTCCCATCTAAAACTTATACGCTACGTACTTTTCCCTTAAGAGATCAATTTGTCTACTTTAGTTAAATAATTCTGGACAAAATGCAACGTTTGGAGTATGCATGAATCTGGGGGTATTGTCTCACTGGCCAGAGTCTTGCTTGAATCCATCTAAACACACATGTTTTTCTTATTAATTTCTGTCTAATATATAATCTTTAGTATTTGCTATTGTGTAACATAACATGAAGTTAATCTGACCAATTCAGACTGTAACATGGCAGCTGTAATTCAGTGGAATAAAATGATTATATTTGAAAAGGAAGATTGTAAACTACTAACAAGAAGTGTTTTGCAACCAAAGCTCTGTAGTCTGTACCTTTTTAACAGTGGAATGTGCCTTTTCACATTAGATCCAATGTTATTGTTTCAGTAGATTAACTATCACTTTAACCTGATATAATGGTTAAACAAAATGAACTGTGACTTGTTTTAGACTATGGCATCTTTGGCCTTCTTTAACTATTTTAGAGACTCCTGAAATGTCACTAGCCTGTGACAAATCCTGTGGCCATAAATTTCTGGGTCTGACATCCCAGAGACACCACCAGGACTGCAAGGGAGTGATCACTGATGATGATTCTGTTAACAGGTTGAACTTTTGACCTCTTTCTCAGATATATGACCAGGAAGGATCGCTACAACATTTCATCGATGGCAGTGACCCCAGCAAATCAAACTGGATGCGATATATCCGATGTGCAAGACATTGTGGGGAGCAGAACATAACAGTTGTCCAGTACAGGTATGGGCACTTATAATAATAATAATAATAATAATCCTTGCATTTGATATAGCGCTTTTCACGTTGGGAGGACGTCCCAAAGCGCTTCACAGAACACACTGTAAAGTGAATTGACTGTATATTTGTGGGCGAACGCGGCAGCCAATTGCGCACAGCAATGTCCCACAAACAGTCGTAGATTGAAAATGACCACCAACATAACACTTAATGCAAGTTTTGGCAACTGCAGCAATATAATGTGTCAGCCTGGTTCAATGATAGCATTCTCACCTTTGAGTAAGAAGGTTGTTGGTTCAAGCCCCATGTCAGGATGTGGAAATCATGTAGAACCATAGAATCATAGAATTATACAGCACAGAAGGAGGTCATTCAGCCCATCATGTCTTTGTCGGTTCTTTGAAAAGAGCTATACAATTAAATCCCACTCCCCCGCTCTCTCCCCATAGCCCTGCAAACTTGTCCTCCCCAAATAATCATCTACGTCTCTCATAAAAGGTGTTATCGAATTGGCTTCCACCACCCTTTCAGGTAATGCATTCCAGATCCTAAAAAATTCTCCGCACCTCCCCTCTGTTTCTTTTAACAACTGTTTTAAATTGGTGCCCTTGGGTTACCGACCCACTCGCCAGTGGAAATAGTTTCTCCTTGTTCACCCTATTGAATCCCCTCATAATTTTTAATACTTCTATTGAGTCTCCTCTTAATCTTCTCTGCTCCAAGGAGAATAACCTTAGCTTCTCTAGCCTCTCCTGATAGCTGAAGTCCCTCAATCCTGGTACCATTCTGGTAAATCTCCTTTGTACTCTCTCCAATGTCTTGACAACCTTCTTAAAGTGTGGTGCCCAGAACTGAACACAATACTCTAGCTGAGACCCAACCAATGTTTTATAAAGATTCACATAACTTCCTGACTTTTGTATTCTATGCCCCTATTTATAAAGCCTAGTATCCCGTACACTTGTTTTTAACAGCTTTATCTACCTGTCCTGCCATCTTCAAAGATTTACTTAGATGAACCCCCAGGTCTCTCTGTTCCTTCACCCCCTTTAAGATTGTACCATCAGCTTATATCGCCTCTCCCCTTTTTTCCTCCCAAAATGCATCACATTTCTCCACGTTAAATTTCACCTGCCACGTGTCTGCCCGTTTTACCAGTCTGTCTATGCCCATGTCCACGCCTATGTCGACAGCATCCAGGCTGACACTCCAGTGCAGTGCTGGGGATTTGCTACATTATTGGAGGCGCTGTTGTTCAGATGATACATTAAACCGAGGTCCTGTCTGCCTAATTAGTGGATATTAAAGATCCATGGCACTCTTTGAAAAGAGGAATTTCTCTTGGTGTCCTGGCCAATAATCCCCCAGATAAAATTAATCACTCATTCCATGGCTATTTGTCGAAATTGGCTGCTGCGTTCGCCCATAAAATACACGCAATCACTCTACGGTATATCCTTTGAAGCGCTTTGAGATGTCCTCCTGACATGAAAAGACTCCACATGCCTAATAATAATCCCTCAAGAAAAAAAAAACAATAATAAATTGGTCACTTCAATCCACGACTGTTTGTGGGAACTGCTGTGCCCAATTGTCTGCTGCATTTCGCCCACAAATATACAGTCAATTCACTTTACAGTCTATTCCTATGCAAGCGCTATATCAAATGCAAGGACGATTATTATTATTATATTAAATGATAGTATTATTATTATTTATAATAAAATTAGACCACATAGTTTCATTTTGGCATGTTGATGGTTAATAAAATCAATTAATCTGAATTAAACTGAGGTCCAGTCTGCTTGATCTTCAGGTGGATATTTAAAATCCCACAACATTTTATGAATTACCCATGACTTACCTTACATTGGGAACACTCAGCAGGTCAGGCAGCATCTATGGAGAAAGGAATGTGAGCCAAAGTGAGTAAGCATCTATGGAGTTCCTTTCTCCATAGATGCTGCCTGACCTGCTGAGTGTTCCCAGCCACTTCTGTTTTGGTATCAGATTTCCAGCACCTGCAGTAATCACATTTTGTTTTTACTTTATTTATCTTATGGGGAATACTGCAAATAGGTCAGTGAGTCAATGACTGGATGGCATCAATTTAAGATAATTACCAAAGGAGCAAAGGAGAGATTAGGAGGATTTCTTTTTACACAGAAAGTTGTTAGGATCTGGAATGCCCTCTCAGGATCAGTGGTCAAGAAGAGAAAGATACTAGCTTTCAAGAAGGAACTAGATTCATATCTAATAAAAGGGTATTATGCAGGGGTATGTGGAAAAGGCAAGTAAATTGGAGTAAGTTAATTGCTCTTTCAAAGAACCAACAAGTGGACATGTGGAGTCTTGTAGCTTAGTGGTTAGAGCACTCGCCTCGGAAGTGAGAGGACCTGGGTTCGATTCCTGGGCAGGGTGACGAGTTGGGCAAGTTTCCTTATTCCACGCGCCCCTGTTAACAACCGGAACCCGGTTGTTAGCCGATTAGCAGATCGCTTTTCTGGGGGTAATAATCCCTTGAACTAACTAACTAACCATGACTGTTTGTGGTACACTGTTGTGTGCAATTGGCTGCCACATTTCGGCCACAAAACATAGTCAATTCACCTGACAGTATATTCTGTGAAGCGCTTTGAGATGTCTAGACGTGACAAGGTGCTATATCAAATACAAGGATTAATATTATCAAATATTATTAAACTGACATGATGCGCCAAATGACCTTCTTCTTACTGAAAATGTCTCCAGTATTGCGCCACTATTAGTTAAAAACATGCACTTAAGTTGCTCCATCGTCACTATTCTTATCCTTAAAGACACAATTATAATTTGGATGTAATGCACTTCCTTAGGTTTTCAAACCATGAAGTACCATTATACAGAAGTACTTGAGTCATACAATTCCAAGCATAACACAAGATCAACAACAAATTGCATTTATATCATACCTTTCACATCGGAAGGATGCCCCAATGCACCGAAACATAAGGCATACTAAAGTACATTACAATCATAAATAGTGTAGTTTTTCCTCAGAGGAAGTAAAAGGATTAAAGAAGGTCAGATAGCAGACATCAGTAAGCGAGATCCTTTTAGTTATGTTAGTAGTAGACAGAATGTTAATCACTTTGATGGGTCCTTTAAGGGATAAATCAGGAAGAAATGTTATGACTCCATTTAATAAATCTCAACTGGCTTTTTGATTACTCTCTTTCCTCATAATTTTTTTTATTTCTTTGTTTCATTTGGCTTTTAAGTTACTTTTTGTTCAGCGTTATTTAATTAGTAAGGACTCTGAGATGCCACCCTACGTGAAGGGTGCTATATAAATGCAACTTGTTGCCCTTGTTGTTTTAATATTGGCCAATTTATTTACTCTTAGTATGAATATTATCACATCAAATGCATAACATGTACTCTCAGTCACTATGAACAGTGACACTGCTTCTGGCATAGAAACAGGCCTCCAGTAAATAATATAACCAAAACATCAACATAGTATACTACAAAATATAACATATAGCTTGAAATGACTTACGAACATAAGAAATCAATGAATGAAAAAAATCTATTTACCTATCAAACCAATCCCTCCATAAGTCATGAATGTCTAACCAACCTTTTTAATTTGTTGAGGAAAGGTTTTGCAAAGTTTGTTTCCACAAAATGTAAGTAAAGCAAAACCCCAGCATATCCAATACATCTTATGACAGTTCCCTTTCTTAGTGACCAAGCTCTCTTGTTTTATGATGAGATGCAATTCTCTCCACTTGATGACTGCCAATAGTTGATCGTGTATTTTCAATGTTTTACAGCCTAACCAATAACCTGCTTGGATTGCTTCCTTCCAGGAGCAGGGAAAATTATAATAAGAATAATCTTCACATTTAATATACCACCTTTCATTGCAGGAGGATATCTTAATGTGCTTCACAGGATATACTGTAAAGGGTAGTGACTGTGTATTTCATAGGCAGGGCGAAACCTTGGGCAAGTTTCCTTACTCCACACGCCTAATAATAATCCCTCCAAAACCAAAAACAATAATAAATTGGTCATTTTCAATCTACGACTGTTTGTGGGACATTGCTGTGCGCAATTGGCTGCCGCGTTCGCCCACAAATATACAGTTAATTCACTTTACAGTGTGTTCTGTGAAGCGCTTTGGGACGTCCTCCCGACGTGAAAAGCACTATATCAAATGCAAGGATTATTATTATTATTATTATTATAAATGCAGCAGCCAGTTTACGTACAGCAATGTTCCATAAATAGCCATGAAGTGGCTGATCAATTCTTATTTGGAAGATTATTGGCTATGACATCGGGAGAAACTCCCTTCTCCTTTCAAATAGTACCATGGGCTCTTTAAGGTCCACAATAACAACAAAATTACATTTGCATAGTGCCTTTCATGTCAGGAGGACATCCCAAGGTACTGGAACAGGCAGGCAGATGGGACCTTGGACTAACATCTCATCCAAATGATGACTTCTCCAACAACAATTCAGCACACCACTAGCATTGCACTGGAGTGTTATCATAGACACTTTGAGTTCAAATATTTCAATGTAGGTTTCAACCTACAACCGTCTGACTCATAGGAAAGAGTCCTACCAAGAGAACCAGGCTGATCATCAAAGTTGCAACTAATCTATAACTGGAGAAGGCAGTTCAAGTACTGAAAACAGTCATGCATAGTAAATGAGTATTTAGATAGATTTATATATCTTCAATCCACAAATATTGACACATGATATAGTATAGACAATTATATATATATATATCTTATTAGCATCAATTATAACTTATGTTGTGTTAATGATATAAATTCTTGTGCACTTACAGAACACATTTGTGGCAACAGAAATCAGTGCACACCATTTTAACGGTGCTTGGTCAATGGAAGTAGTTGGAAAAAGGAAAACATTTGCTTGTCACTAAGATATTCCTGCAGTGCTAAGATGGGTTTTGTTTTGCTAAACTAGCATTAAAGACTCTTAACTCTAAAGCCATTTTTCAGCTACCCAAAATCCCAAAGGCTGAAGGTGGGTGCGATTACATGGCACACTTGATAAAGCCAATCTTTAACATGTAAAAGCTCATCAAACCCACAAGGGCTGCTAATGGATGAGTGAACCTGCTGGTGGCCCTTAGAGTCCAATTGCACTCAGATGAGTAAATCTGTCCAAAGAAGCCTAAGGAATAAAAAACAAACAAGCTACAAGCACTTACTGTACATACACTACTCCCCTCACTAGTCTGACTCTTTATTGCATTTGTGTTCTATCTTATTGATCTCTCAGTGGAACCAGGTTTCCACGAATGTTGCACCTCCCTCTCCCTGTGGAAGGTGTCTGGGCTTCCTTGACCACTTCATGAACCCAGACATTGTTGTCCCAGACATTGACCCTAGAAGCCCTGCTTTAATGCTACATTTCAATAACTAAGACGGATTTTTATTGGTGTTTTTGGAAGTAAGGTTGAAAAAGTATATACACCCTAAGTATATATAAATACATGATTTTAAGTTATAATCTGTCCCATGGAGTTAAGTAGGCCAGAAAAATATAGTTAAATCATAATAATTAATTCATAATGTTGTATTCTATGATAAGGAATCTATTAAGAAATACTGTAAGTTACACCCAAATGTTTTTTTCTCCTTACTTTTCCTACTTTTTTCCCAGGATGTTATATTTAATTTGCTTCCTTTTTAATTCCTTAATAAGGAAACATGTTAGAATTCCAACAGTCCTTGGGAACGCATCTCCAAAAGTAAGTTGTAGGAGTTTGGAATACCCACAAGTTGACGGGACTTAATTCCATTTACTAGAGCAGTCCCCATTTCTTATTAAGAATTCCGGCTAGGAAATACTACAAATTACATCAACATTCTGTAGCATTACTAAATTCTGATCCAAGAAATGTGACTATGGCTTGACAGAGAGTAGAGAGGAATGCTGTTAGAATATCCCCTAATATAGTGCTGCCTCACTTTGAGTGTGCATCTGCTGTGGACTTCCACTAATTGGTTTGGAACACCCGACTCTTCGCGCTGAAAAGCTGACTTCCGAGCTAAAAGTGTTCGACGTGGGGTCAGAGGGTCGCTGATAATGTCACTTCCTGCATACTGCTTTCCTGCCTAGGAAATGTTGGTGATGTCACTTTGCAAAGGAAGTGCCATCAGTGCCCTTCTCATGTATAGTGTGCAAGCACAATTTGCAGGAACTGACGTCAGTGGCGACCTGATGACCTGGAAGTCAGCTATCGTAGTGCTTCACTAATAACATGACTTCTAAGCTATTGGTCCTAAAGAACTGCATTATAATGAGATTCCCGTATATAATGAATATTGCAACATAAATATTGCACAATGATAAAAACACATACTTATGTTGTCCATAAATATCTAATCTGGTGCTTGCCAGCTGCTTTAAATTCAATAAATTTTGATTTGTGACATCTTAATGGATTTCTCTTCAAAGATCTCTTATGATTGATTGACACCCTTCCCCTCCCCATCCTTAACACTTTGTTTTAGTTTGTGCTGACAATAACGTTCACTGGCATGACACTGGCTGCACCAGAGACAGGACATCATGCAGTTTATCTTTATGAGTCATCCAAACACAATACTAAATACATGTCAGCAAAGGAAATATTAGCCAAGAGGAAAAATGCCTTTGATGTGCTTCAGCATGCAGTGATTTGTGTACGACATGGAACTCCTGCCCTCCTGTGAGGAACCCTGTATGCTTATAGTTTTGTAGTCCTTCTCTAAAAGCCTCCAAGACCACCCATTGCTTTAAAACAGTCCTGTATTTTCAGTAAGAACTAAGCATTTCTGTCTAGCAAAGGCCTTATTGCATACAATACATTGAGCAGTGTTTATTGTTTCGGGAAACCTAACTCAGAGAAGAAGGAGGGCAAAAAGGCTTTTCCTCCGCCCCTCAAGTTATGAGGCATATGCAATTTATAGTCCAGACCTTGTTTGAAACTGTGAAATAGTGGAAAGAATTAATACAATTTACAAGCCTCTGTGAACAGAGCAAGCAGTCCAGGGCATAGTTTTTGTCAGATATTCATAGGCACACCAAAAACATTGTGCTTAGCCAGCAGTGCCTGAGTCAAATGGGGTGACAGGATGTTCAGGAAAAAAAAACATAAATGAATTTTTTGCAGCTGCAAGTGAAACGTTGAGATTCTTCAATTTTTTATATTGATCTTCATGATCCTGTTGCCAAGAGCCACTTGACAATGACAAAATAGGTTGACAAGTGCATATCTCACTCTTATGAAATATGTGCCGACAGATTCTGTGTGTGTCTGCGATGTTAAGCAAACAAATTGCATTGGCGTGAGCAATTCTTCAAGCCACGTCCCGGTTAAAGAGACAGCGCTGCAATTTTTCTTCAGCTAAAGAGGTTGTACCTCACAATTCGCTCTAATTTGCAAGATTGACCAAAAGGATTTGTAAATAATGGAATCTGGAGCTACCCGGCTGTATCTTACAACAACAAGTTGCATTTATATGGTACCCTTCACACAGGAAGCTCCTCAAAGCACTGAACCTTAGGCCAACTTATGGATCTCCTTGATGCCAGGAGTTTTGGTGAGATTGGTATCCAAGCAGTTACAATGGATCGACCTGTCTGGGCCTGGGTACCTATAAGATTTACTCTTGGAAATCTCACAAATTCTAATCTTTTTTAAAAAAATCTTTGTATTAAAGTTTTTTTTCTCTTCTCTTCTTCCTCCGTGCACCACACAATTGGGATAAAATTCTTCCTAGAACTAGATTTACTCTATTTATGTAATAATAATAATATTTATGTAGCCACTTTTATGGACTTGCACCCTTTAAGAACTGAGATATGAGATCCCTTGCTTGTTTTGCATAGACCCTTCTTTCAGCTGTTGAAGTCAGGAGGCTTTCATCCCTTCGACCTGGAAAGTAATCTCAACCTTTGCAGAGAAAATTGAGACATGTAATGTGATGATCATTACTGGTGATACTTATCACAACACAGAAATTATCAGCCTCCCAATGTCTTCCACAAACGATCCCCTCTCCTGTCCCCAAGGACATTTGGGAAATGATGGGAACTTTCATATGTCCACAAAAAAATACACAGTTTGAATTTTGTTTTTTTGCCTTTTGTTTCTTCTTTTTCAGATCATGCATATTCTACAGAGCTTGTGTGGACATCCCAAGAGGAGTGGAGCTCCTAGTCTGGTACAATGACAGCTACACATCATTCTTTGGGATCCCATTTCAATGTGTCGCACAGGATGACAATTGTAAGCATTTTATTTGGTGTCTCCAAAAAAAACAGATGCAGAATTTACTCTCAACCTCTCACTTCACTGATACATTCTGTTCATTCAATAATAACAGTAGTCTTTGCATTTGATTTAGCACTTTTTACATGGCGGGCAGGGTGGGGGGAGCAGGGGGGATGACTTCATTGGATTTACTGTAAAGTGCGATGACTGTGTATTTTGTAGGAAAAAAACATTCTTAATGCTCCACTGATCTGTGACTAATGTAAAGTTATGCTTTGAAGGTTGCTACTGAACATAATTTGCACTGCTTCTTTGTTAGGTATTCTTTATTCAACAAAATGTCTCGGATTTTATTAGTGAATGTAAGCCTGTTAATACTCACTGTCTGTGCTCACCCTGAAAGAGAATGGATTTCACTGTTTGGGTTGGAAATGTATTTAAATAGCAAAAATCCATATTTGATTATTCTACAGATTAATGTTAACTGTTCCAAACCAGCTCCTCCAAAGGCTCAGTTGGCAAAGCCTCTGCATGTGTGTAATTGAACCATCCAGATCAGGAAGGTCTAGGTGTTTATCCCTAAGGCATCAGGAAAGTTATTGCAAATAGCCTCAGCATCACTAGACTAGGAAGGGCCATGTCTTGCATGGGCTTATTACTATCTAGTGACTCCAAGATGTAGATATCAGATGAGAACAGAATACAACAAAAACAACAACAACAAGATTCCATTTATTGAGCACCTTTCACGTCGGGAGGACGTCCCAAGGCGCTGTACAGTTGGGTCAGGACCCGAGCATTGGGGGGAAATGGTCAGGGTGAGGGGATGGAAGGGAGGGAGCGAGGAGGGGGTAGAGAGTCGAGAGGGGAGCTGAAGGCACGGTCAAAGAGAAAGGTCTTGAGACTGGCCTTGAAGGAGGAAAGGGAGGAGGCGGCGAAGGCACTGGGGGATAGAGTTCCAGAGCCTAGGGGTTGAGAGGCTGAAGGCCCGGCCACCGATAGTAGGGCGGTTGGGGCGGGGGATGTGGAGCAGACCGGAGCCATAGGAACGGAGGGTACGGGCGGGTAGGTAGGGGGATAGTAGGTCGGAGAGGTAGGAGGGAGCGAGGCCATGAATGGCCTTGTAGGTGAGGGTGAGGATCTTGAATTCGATCCTCTGGGGGATGGGGAGCCAGTGGAGGTGAGCGAGGGTGGAAGTGATGTGTTCCCGAAGCCTGGTGCGGGACAGTACACGAGCTGCAGAGTTCTGAATGACCTGCAGCTTGTGGAGGGAGGTGGCGGGAAGGCCGGCGAGGAGAGAGTTCCCATAGTCCAGCCTTGAGGTGATAAAGGCGTGTAGAGCCACCTTCTCTATAATAGTCACCTTCTCATCGTCTGAAACTTTCCCCACAGCGACTGTTTTTAGGTCACTGCTGTGAGCAATTGGCTGCCGCATTTTTCCTACAAATACACAGTAAATTCACTTTACAATATATTCTGTGAAGCGCATTGAGATGTCTAGAAGACATGAAAAGCCCTATATCAAATGCAAGGATTATTATTATATGTGTGAAATCCCTCCACTGTTGGACAGATTTCCTGTTTGGATTCACACGTTGTAACCTGTGATGTATTAAATTATGATGTAATAATTATCACATTATTGATAACTACATTCAACAAACCCAGCCAATACCAATGATTGTGGATCTCACTGCTGTCCCAAATTCATTAGTCTGAAGCCATACCCTCTGCCATTTGACTAGATAGCCATTGGCCTGAAGGTTTGCAAATAACAGCCTAATGTAATAAACAAAATTGGAATGAAGCCAACACTCTGCTAACTCATTTCAATGCCGGTCTTAGGCTATCAACTGGTTTTAGTTATGGCCTGGCCTCATTCATCACATTTATCATTTTTTTATCCCGAGCAGATTAGCCATCTGTGGGCGTGGCCTTGATGGTATAGCAGATAGAGCTTCAGTGTACGGGTTGGGGTCTTGCTGGTTCAAATCCCAGCCTATACTGATGTCAACATGTGGAGAGACGCTAAATTGGCTACAGCCATCCAAGGTTCAGTGATGTTTAAATCAGCTGAGTTTACTGGCTCCGGTCCCTCTTCATTATTCCAACTAGTAGTGTTTGTGTGTGTTATTTGTGTGTGTTTGGCAATCAGCTCCTGTGGATTTGGACACCAGCATGCAGAGATTGGGAACCAGGAGCACTGACATATGCTAATGGGAGATATTCGAAAACTAATTGGACACTACATTATTTTTTAAAAAATAACTGCCAACCTGGGAAAGTAAGGGAAGGTGGCTGGCACCTTCTGCAGAGGTGGGGAACAACTGGAATTGAAAAAGATAAATTTGTGATCCATATACTGCTGTATCGAGGAGAAATCTAACTTGTCATGTTGCATTTTGTCAGCATCATTTGACACCATTGTTTCTTCACCCTGTAGTGACTTATGGATAAGATTACATTAACCTTGTTCTCTAGCTGTGCTATATTAACCCACAAACCCGCAATTACTTATGTTTATAGTATATCCCGTGAAACAGTTTGAAACATCCTCCCAACGTGAAATGTAATGATGATAATGCAGATTATTATTATAAACATGAAATTAAGCAGAACATTATATAGCACAAGTAATAATATAAGTGTCCCTGGGTCTGGATTTCTCCTCGATCAGACATCCTATGGCACAGAACTTATGGCAGTAATTTATTTTGTGGCTAAGTTACTGTCGTGTGCAGAGAGGTTTAATTTGATGGTTTATACAGATTTCTTAATAATAAATGTGTAATTATCCAATTTCTAGAACATCAATGAGGAAAAATTCCACCTCGGTCTAGATCTATTCTATTTATGTTGTGTTTTTAGAGCATCCGGAATTTGGAAAATTGTTGAATTAATGCTTAACTTTGAAGATGTTCTGTGATTCTTAAAAAAGTTACGGAAAAATAGCTTCAAAATTAAGGTTGCATTTAAGAAATTAGTAAACTGTGGATACTCTTAAATAATAATAATAATCCTTACATTTGGTATAATATCTTTCACATGAAATGCTACATAAATAGTGTAAATCTTGACCCAGGTGGAATTTCTGCCCACAAATGTCATGAGAATGCATTCTAACATGTAATGTTGTCTTTTACATTTAACATTTTAATGTTTTTATATAATTGCACATTTATTGTTAAGACATCTGTTAAAAAAATGCTGCAAACTTGATACATTACCAATATTTCATTTTAAAATAGGGTAGATATATTTTAAGTGTAGCTTAATGCCATGTTGAAGCAACTTAAATGATTATGTGCAATAAGTTTGTGGCGGAGCAATCCCAAACCAATTGTTTTCAGTAATGCTCAATCCTTCCCTCAACACACTGTATGTGTATCTAATTAGTTTTAAAGCATGTTAATTGATTTGGCATTAACTGCTTTTCTCAGGCTTTGCTCCAGTACCCCTTGTGAGTTTGCTTTGTAATCTCACCGAAGGCTTGTTAATGTTACATTGTTGTGTCCTCTCATTCTACCCTCACAGACTAAGTTAAATAACTTGCTTACATCTGGTTTACCTAGGAATTTTTGCATTTTAAAGACCCATGTAACGTTCATTCAATTTTATTTTTTGAATGAAAAAGCTTTGTGAGTCTTTCTTCATTGTTCTGACGTGTAAAGCCTGGAATCATCCTTGGCAGTCATCTCTGAGCTATTTTCCAATGAATCAATATCCTCTTTGAGGAAGGCTGCCAAAAAGTGTGCACCATATTCCAGAAGTGGCCTCAACAATGTCAGAATAATTTCAGTTGACCTGATATCAAATGCTCCCCAGATATAACCCAGCACAGCACTTGATTTGCTTTATTGATACTGCTTCACATTGACTGGATACTTTCAGGTCATGGTCAGTGATCACACCCAAATCCTTTCCCCTTTACATCTTTGCTGATGGACACCACTTCATACACTTTGTACACATGTCCCTGAAGACAAAAAGGGTACGGGGCAGTAGGAAGAATATTTTTATACTGAAAACTGTGTTGAATCCCTTCCCCGAATAGCTGTTGAAGCTGACTACAATGAAAGCATTTAAACAATAATAAATAATAAAACATTAATAAACACTAACTTGCAGTTATATATTATATATTATAATTATCAGTAAAAAAATCTGCAAGATGAGGTATAAATTTGAAGAGTCACCAAAGGATTTGTAAATAATGAATTTCAGGTATTGTCGATGAGTCAGTGATTAGAGGGCATTAATTTAAGATAAACAAGCAAATAGGGAGATTAGGAGAATTTTTTTCCTCAGAGAAGTTAGGATATGGGACAACCTGCTAAAGGTGGTGTTGAGGCAGAGTCCATATTAGCTTTTCAAAAAGATCTAGATAGATATCTAAAAAGGAGTAAACTACAGGGTTGGGGAAAGGGCAGGTAAATAAAATAATAGATAACCCCCTTGCATTTCATATCACGCCTTATCACATCTTCGAGACTTATCAAAGCGTTTCACAGAATATACTGTAAATTAATTGACTATATATTTTGTGGGCGAAATTCGGCAGCCAATTGCACACAGCAGTGTATCACAAACAGTCGTGTATTTATTATTATTTTTTTCTGAAGGAATTATTACCACTGGAAAAGCGATCCACTTACTGCTAGGTAAATGGAGGCGTGTGGAATAAGTAAACTTGCCCATTGTTTTGCCCTGCTGGGAATCAAACCCAGGTCTCTTGCTTCCAAGGCGAGTGCTCTAACCACTGAGCTACAAGACTCCACAGGACTGAAAAGGATTGCTCTATAAATGAGTCAGCACAGATATGATGGGCCGAACGACCGTCTTCTGTGCTGAAAATTTCTATGATTAGGACCGACCCTCTGCACTCCACCCCAACATGCCCCCAGCCTTCCCCCCCACGTCTGAACTGAGATCAGCATCCAAGTGTTCCAGAGAGTCGGCCTGTGGGATAAACAGAATCCACTAGTTACAAATCAGTTTGTGAATCTCATCATTTA